TTATGAGGAATCAACGAGAAAATATATGTGAAATTTCCTAAAGTGCCTGGCACATAGTGGCTCTCAACCTTATTTTCCTTCTTTCTTGAAGATTCATAGTTGGATCTCTAGCTACTAACAGTGGGCTGGTTACTTAGCCTTTTTCAGCCTCACTTTCCTCATCTGTTAATGAGGATAAGATTTCCTTTCACCTTTATCCTGAGGCAGTGAACACAGACATGAGCTGCCCAGATGCCCCTTAAAGGAAAGACTCGTTGCCCCAGCTGTCAGCTCCAACAAGCGTGGCTTCAGGGCAGGACCTCTTCCACAGACTGACCCAGTGGATCTCCAAGGACACCCCACTTCAGCCCACTGCAGTGTAGCCCTAATGGGGCTGGCCAAGGCTTTATGATGCCTGCATTACAGTTTGACTTCTCCCTCTGCCAGTCCATCTTCCTCCCTTTCCTGCCACAGCTAGTGTTCCCTAATAAATACACTGCATGCCGAACCCCATCTCAGTGACTGCTTGCAGAGAACCCAATATGGGACAGTTGGTATCAGGAGGAGTCTCAGAAAGCAGGCAATAGATGAGGGTTTGGAGCTAAATCCCTCGCCAGTGAAGAATCCATCACCAATGGAGGTGGAGCACATGCAGCCCCTAGCACAAGGAGCTGATGGTCAAGTTGTTAGAACTTTCACCTGTGGTAAAGTGGGATGGCACGTGCTGGTGGAAGGGAAGCACAAGCGGGTGTGATGTACCAGGTGTTTGAGAGTACGGGCAAGTAGTAGCTATGAGGACGATGGCATTGGGTGGAGTATTAGTTCCCTAGGGCTGTCTTAACAAATTACCACAAACTTGACAGTTTAAAACAACTGAAACATATTCTCCCACAGTTCTGGAGGCCAGAAGTCCAAAATCAAAGTGTCAGCAGGGTTGGTCCCTCTGGAGGCTCTGAGAGAGGATCTGTTCCATGGCTCTCTCCTCGTGCCTGCCAGCAACACTTGGGGCTCTGTAACTCCAACCTCTACCTCCATCTTCGCATGGCCCTCTTCTGTCTGTGCCTCTGTGTCTCAAATCTCTCCTTTCTCTTATAAGGACATCAGCCCTTGGGTTTAGGGCACACCCTAAATCCAGGATCATCTCATCTCGAGATCCTTAGTTACATCTTCAAACACTCTATTTCTGGGTAAGGCCACATTCTAAGGTTTGTGGTAGACATATCTTTTGGGGGCCACAATTCAACCCACTACAGATAATTATCCCATAACACCATGGATGCCTTAGATAAACATCATGAAAAGCTGCTGGATTGATAAGCAGATGAAAGCCATGTGTGAAAGCCAAAGACCTCCTGACAGCTTACGGAAAGGCTCTCATCTCCTGCAGAAGGAGGATGAGAGCCCAAGCCCAGGCCCAGACCTAATAGGTAGAGTGGCCAAGCTCCAGAGAAGACTGACTGCTCAATCAAGGGAGCTCTGTCACGCCACAGTTAGGGCCCTGGTTGGAAAAAAAGGGACCCTGACACTCGAGAAGGGGACATCTGGTCTAGACTTCCTCTAGAGGCTCTGAGCCAGCATAGGTAGCCTGCCCCTTCTTATTAAGACCCAGAACTCCCCTTCCTTGCTTGAAAACAATGGAGAGGTTTCTCCTCAACAAGATAACAGTTTCCTTCCCCAACTGGGGATCTTCCCCCACCTGCTGTCCTGGCGACCAGGCCCATAGCTAGGTGACATGCTAGGCCTGGTAAGGAAGGGAAGGGACTGCACCCCCAAAGAGCTGTGAGACCGAGCAAACGTGTGTCTGTAGAAGCCAGGGGAGCACGTGTAGGACTGGATTCTGAGGATGCTTGAGCAAGGAGGCTGAGGATCAAGAACATAAGATTGGATCGTGGAGAGCTGATTGATTGCCAGCACTCTTACAAGATACAGGGATTAACACCCCAGCAAAGAACTCCAGGAGATGGTGCAAACTCTCCCTCAGGATGGTTCCTAAAAGCACAGGAGAAGTGATGGCCCATGCCAAGTGAAATTTCAATTGCCATGGCTGACCATGGAAAAAGGGATTAAAATGCTCAGGGAAGTAGATATACTATAATAAACCGAAAGACCCACCTGAGCATTATGTTCCATGGGAAGCCCAAGAGGCTACACTGTCTACCAAGGCTGTAAAGAGCGGGCTGGTGAGAGGGACACCAGCATCACTAAAACTTCAGTGATGAACGGTTCTCTTCTGTAAGCCAGGCCTGACACTAGGAAAGACCGGTAAGGACTACCATTGATGGCAGTGGAGATGACAGGACCCCCAAAACAGAGACCAGGTGGTGGCACTTAATTCCCAGAAGCCAGGTGGATGCAATTATCGTAGTAAACAGCAGGCTGGAGTGGCAGCCAAGGGGCTGCCCCGCAGAGCTGGTTAACAGTGCATAACATCCGAGAGCAAAATAGACGGCAGCTTGTACCATCAGAGGACATCAAAAGAGACGATCTGGAGGCCTAGGAAAGTTGTCCTAAGAAAAAGCCACCTTTTGAACCTAGAATTCACTGACTGAAAATGAGCCTGGGTTCCCCGGAGGAACGAACCTTACAACACCATGGCCAGTATACACAGTAATTATCCCCTAGTCCTTCCTTAAAGGGACCCGCAGCCGTTTACTCTGATAACTGTTCTCTGAGGAAAGGTGAATACACAAATATTTTGAAGACTGTTGAACACAGGGTCTGAGCTGACACTGTTAACAGAAGACTCGAAGTGTCACTCCTCCAGTTAGAGTGGGGGTTTATGGGCACAAGGTAATAAACGGAGTCCTCACTCCAGAGACCAGGAAAATGACTAGCCGGCCTTAAGAAGTCCTTCATGACCCAGTGTCTGCTCTCCCTCCAGACTTCTCTCTCACCACTTATTCCGCTTACTCCCCAGAGCTGGGCTCCCTGCACTCCTTTGATGCTTCATCTCCCATCCCCGTCCGTTCTCTCAATTTCAATCCCTCTTTCAATCTCTCTCTCTCTCTGTCTCACCTCCTCTCTCTCTCCCATCTCTCCCTCTCTTCCTCCCTCCCACCACCACCTTACGTCTTTCCCTCTCTCGATTCTCCTCTGTCTCATCTCTCTTCTGTCCTAATATGTGTCTGTTCTTCATCTTCCCATGTCCCTCATCTCTCAGTCTCACTCTGTATCTCTCTCTCTCACATTCACACACACACACACACACACACATGATCTCAGGTTCTGTACAAGCTTATTCACCTGTCTTGAATGCTCCCCTCCTCCTCCACCTTTCTCCTAGCTAACTTCTATTTGTGCTTCAAATTCCTTCCAAGAATCTCCTCTGAGACTCAGGGAAGCCTTCTTTATTCTTTCTCTGCTTGCTTCAACCATGACATGAACTAGACTCTTTAAAATAATCAGGACTTCCCAAATTGACCTACAGATTCAATACAATCCATATCAAAATCTAAGATGGCTTCTTTGCAGGCATTGAAAAGTTGATCCTAAAATTCATGTGGAAATTCAAGGGATCCAGAATAGACAAAGCTACAGTATTGAGATAATGTGGTATTGATATAAGGACAGACATATAGATCAATGGAACAGAATCAACAGTCCAGAAATAAACTCTTACATTTATGGTCAATTGATTTTTGACAGGGATGCCAAGATAATTCAATGAAGAATGAATAGTCTTTCAACAAATGGTGCTGGGACAACTGGATATCCACGTGCAAAAGAATGAAATTGGAACCCACCTTCATCATACACAAAAGTTAACTCAAAGTGGATCAAAGATCTAAATGTAAGAGCTAAAACTGTAAAACTCTTAGAAGAAAATCTTGGATAGAATTTAAAACCCTTTCCCATCAGGGAAATGCAAATCAAAACCACAATGAGATACCACTTCACAGTCACTAGGAGGGCTTTAATCAGAAATGCAGAGAAGAGCCAGCCCTGATGGCCTACTGGTTAAAGTTTGGTGCTCACTGCTTCAGCAGCCCAGGTTTGCTTCCCGGTCATGGAACCACACCACCTGTCTGTCGGTTGCCATGCTGTGGCTGTGGCTCACATAGGAGAACTAGAATAACTTACAGCTAGGATACACAACCATGCACTGGGGCTTTGGGGAAGAAAAAAAAAGGAAAGATTGGCAACAGATGTTAGCTCAGGATGAATCTTTCCCTGAAAAAAAAACAAAACAAGACAGATAATAATTATGGCAATTTCTCAAAAATTTAAACATTGAATTACCATATGATCCAGCTACTCCACTTCTGAGTATGTACCCAAAAGAACTGAAAGTAGGAACTCAAACAGATACTTGTACACCCACGTTCGTAGCCTCATTATTCACAAAAGCCAAAATGATGGAGGGAAGCAACCCAAGTGTCCATCAACAGATGAATGAATAAATAAAGTGTGCTATATACATAGGGTGGAATGTTATCTGGCCTTAAAAAGGAAAGAAATTCTTGGGGCCAGCCCAGTGCCATAGTGGTTAAGTTCGCACTCTCCATTTTGGTGGCCCCGTGTTTGCAGGTTCGGATTCTGGGCACAGATCTAGCACCACTTGTCAAGCCATACTGTGGCGGTGTCCCACATAAAATAAAGGAAGATTGGCACAGATGTTAGCTCAGGGCCAATCTTCCTCACACACACACACAAACCCCCAAAAAAGGGAAGGAAATTTTGACACATGCTACAACATGGATGAACCTTGAGGACATTATGCTAAATGAAATAAGCCAGTCACCAAAGGACAAATACTGTATGATTCCACTTATATGAGGTACCTAGTAGTAAAGTTCATAGAAAATAGAATGGTGGTTCCCAGGGGCTGGGGGAGAGAAGTATAAGTTAGTGTTTAATGGGTACAGAGTTTCAGTTTGGGAAGATGGAAAAGTTCTGGAGACGAATGATGGTGATGGTTGCACAACAGTATGAATGTACCTAATACCACTGAACTGTGCACTTAAAAATGGTTAAAGTGGTAAATTTTATGTTATGCATATTTTACCACAATAATAAAAAAAAGAATGTTTATAGTTGCCTGAACTTACCATTTTGTTTAAAAAATAGCACGTTGATCATTAAAGGTCACAACACTATTAAAGCCACTGACACTCAATCTGGAGGCACTGGGGAGGCCCATGTACCTCCCTGGACCTTGTGACTTTGTCTTAGAAACGAGGTAGGTAGGACCAGATCAGTCCTACTCCCAGCTTGGAGTCTCGGGATCCCTGTGGACTCCAAATGTAATAAAAAATATCCTCTGGTTACTTTCAATATTTCCAAATAAAACCTAATAAAATTATTCTTTTTCCTTCCAAACGCCTTCCCAGAGCAATAAAAACATCACGCTTCTCTCCTGTAGACTGGGGTTATAGGACTGCAGGGTGGACTCAAAGGTTATTAGTTATTTTCACAGTGGAGGGAGGAATGGGTTCAGGCTGCTTATGTAACAGCTGCTACTGGTGCAGGGGAGGGGACTGTTACCATGGAGGCTAACTGGAGAAGTACTTCGGAGCCAGCAAACGGCACAGCAGTTTGAGGGGGGCCACACCACCTACAGCTGGAGAAGGAAGAAAGGATGTCACGCTTGAATGGACACAGGTACTCACGGTGGGCAAAAACACCCCAGTTGAAACAGTAGTGCCTTCAGGTTCTGTGACAACTGGAGTCAGGCTCAGCAGCTGGGAGAACACGGCACTGGCTACATGGCAGCTGAGAAGACCAGAGAGCTGTTCTTGAACTCTTGATTCCGTAAATTAGTGATTCTCAAATTGTAGCTTGCATCAGAATGATCTGGAGGGCATCTTAAAGCCCAGAGTGCTGGGTCCTGCCTCCTAGCCATTTTGTTTCAATAAACCCGGGGGGGGGCGGGGTGGGACAAGAGAATTTGCATCTAACCAGATCCCGGGCAATGCTGAAGCTGCTGGTTTGAGGACCACACTTTGAAAACCACTGCCCTACTGTACTGATCAGCACAGGCTATGCCAGGCTACAGTAAGAAATAAACCCCCAAATTGCAGGACCTTAACACCACAAAAGTTTATTTCTTGCTCATATCTCAGTCCAAGGAAATTTGGATAGTCCTCCCCCATATTGTTCCCATGCCAACTTCCCTGTGGAAGAGAAAGAAAGAGAGTACCAGGAAAGTACATGAGATGGTTTTAAGGCAGTGCCTGGAAGAGGTTTATATCACTTCTTCTGCCTCACATTGGCTAGATCTCAATCACAGGCCCTCAACCCAACCGGGAACGGCAATATTCCAGGGTGTCCAGAAAGAAAGAGATAGTGTAGTAAACACACAACATTATCTGCCACCAATCCATCATTGATTCCCACTGTCTCTCCCTCCTCACTAGCAGATTTGTTTTGGTATACATTTATTTTTTTAACTGAAATATAGTTGACATATAACAATGTGTAATTTAAGGTGTACATGTTGATTTGATACATTTATATATTGTAATGTGATTTCATTATAGTGATAGCACTTCCATCATGTCACATGATTGTCATTTCCTTTTTTTTTTTTTTTTAAAGATTGGCACCTGAGCTAACATCTGTTGCCAATCTTCTTTCTTTTTTTCTTCTTCCTCTCTCCAAAGCCCCTCAGTACATAGTCGTATATTCTAGTTGTAGATCCTTCTAGTTGAGCTGTGTGGGACGCTGCCTCGGCATGGCCTGAGGAGCGGTGCTATGTCCGCGCCCAGGATCCGAACTGACGAAACCCTGGGCCCCGAAGGAGTGCTCGAACTTAATCACTCGTCCATGGGGCCAGCCCCCTCATTTCTTTTTTGTAGTTGCAATGATTAAGATCTAGTCTCTTAGCAAGTTTGATGATTACAATACAATATTGTTGTCTATATTCACTAGACTGTACACTGGATCTCTAGGACTCATTTGCTACTAGTTGCAAGTTTGCACCCTTAAACATTTCTCCTATTTCCCCAATCACCAGCCCTGGGTGACCACCATTTTCCTATTTTTTTTTTAAAGATTGGCACCTGGGCTAACAACTGTTGCCAATCTTCTTCTTTTTTTTCTCTGCTTTATCTCCCCAACCCCCACCCTCTTCCTCCCCCCAACCCCGCCGTACACAGTTGTATATCTTAGTTGCATGTCCTTCTAGTTGTGGGATGTGGGACGCCACCTCAACGTGGCCTGACGAGCGGTGCCATGTTCTCTCCCAGGATCCGAACCCTGGGCCGCCACAGCAGAGAGCACGAACTTAACCGCTCGGCCACGAGCCGGCCCCTTACTCTATGTTTTCATGAGTTTGGCTTTTTCAGATTCCACATATAAGTGATATCGTATAGTATTTGTCTTTCTTTGTCTGATTTATCTCACTTAGCATAATGTCCTCAAGGTTCATTCATGTTGTCACAACTGGCAGGATTTTCTTCTTTCTCATGGCTGAATAATATTCCATTGTATATATGTGTGTATATATATACACCACATCCTCTTCATTCATTCGTCCATTGACAGGCACTTAGGTTGTTTCCATAACTTGGCTGTTGTGAATAATGCTGCAAAAACATGGGACTGCATATATCTCTTTGATACCCTGTTTTCATTTCCTTTGAGAATATACTCAGAAGTCTAATTGCCAGATCCTTAGTAGCAGATCTTGTTTCTGTCCAAGGGATTTACTCCTCCCCCAGGAGTGTGGAAGCTGATACCACCATTGGCTCTAGAAACCATCTATTAGACTGAGACAGTCTGCATTGCCCGAGATTGGTTTAGGTACCCAGGCTCAAGCCAATTAGTGCACATCATTCTCTTGTCAACTGTTATTGGTCCAGGGGTGGACATGTGACCCAATCAGGCTGAAGGGAATAAGGAGGCTGGAGAGTATCCTATTGGACTTGGAGTGAGGAAGCAAGCTGCTTCAGCTGACGCTGGCAACCATCTTGAGACCAAGAAGCCAAGCTAGAGGAGGCTAGAACGTAGAGAAGAGTAGAAAAATGGAGTCATAGCCCTGTTCTAACACCTGAAGTCTACTTTACCTCTGAATTTATTTTAAGCTACTTTGAATTCAGACCTGTTATGTGTAGTAGAAAGTAGCCAAATGGATATACCTCTCAAAGCATAACGATGGGAACAGAAATACTTTGTTTGCCAGTCCTGGGACCTTACTTGTACTCCGGGGGCTCTACAGGTGAATGAATGGGGTTACACTTAACAAATGCAGGTTGTGTGATAGAAGTTATTTCAAAAGGTAGAGTCCAGTGAGTATGAGCTACAGGAGATTGTAAACTTTAAGAATGTAGAGGCCATGTCTCTCCTTTCCCCTGCTATAGCCCCAGAGTCCAGCCAGTGCTTGGCGTACACAAATACACGAAACATTTGTTGAATGAATACATCACAAGAAACTGGTAAAAATGAGTCCTTAGTTGTAAGAATGTTGGGAAGTCATCTAAACATTGTAAACACAGAAACATTGGGAAAATTACATTAAATAAGATAATGTATGTAAAATCCCTAGCACAGGGTCCACACCTAGTAAATAAATGGAAACTGTCATTAAGATCACTGGAGTCAATTAAGCCAGGCCATCTTGAAAGTCCCTTTTAAATCTAATTATGTCGTTGTTCTAGGACACAGTTTAGTGATCAAGAATGTAGACTTTATTCACAATTTTCCAAAACTGGAAACAATCCAATCCAAATTCCATCAGCAGATGAATGGATAAACAAACTGTGGTATAGCCATACAACAGAATACTGCTCAGCAATGAAAAGGAATAAAATACTCACACATGCAATATGGATTAATCTCAAAAGCATTAATCCCACATGAAAGAAGCCAGAGACAAAAGCCTACATTCTATATGATTCCTAGTATTATACAGCATTCTTAAAAAGGAAAAATTGTAGAGACAGAAATCATATCAGTGGTTGCCAAGAGCTGGGGATACAGGTAGGAGATTAACTAGAAAGGAGCATGGTGGAAATTTTTGGAGTGACGGAAATATCCTATATATTGATTGTAGTGGTGTTACACAACTAAACATTTGTCAAAATTCATTGAACAGTATGCTAAAAGAAAAGGTGACTTTTACTGTAATTGAACTATATCTCAATAAACCTGGATTTTAAAAAATGTAACATGCAGACTGTTTTTATAGATTGAAATAATACAGACGTGGTTTCAAATCCTGGCTTCAACACTTTCTGTGTAACTTTAAAGATGCTTCCTTAATCTCTCAGGGCTTATGTTTCACCGTCTTAATAATATCAAAGAAGCTTTTACTCTGGGTAAGATGGAGTAAGCATACTCTACCCTCTGTCACCCACTGAATGCAACGATAAAACCTAGACACGATGCCTGGAGCAGATGTTTGAGGTCTCCGGAAAGTAACTACTAGCAGTCAAATTAAGAAAGGAGACTAGAATCAAAGTACTACTAAACTAAATGAGAGTTTATCACTTTTTTTTTACTCCGGTGTCTTCCAACTTGGACTCAACACAGCCCCAACCAGGAAGTGGACATCCATATGGGCAGAGAAAAGTCCTCCAGTTGTGGCTCTAGGAGCAGAATAAGGGTGTCCTGATGCTCAGAGAATGTGAGGGATTTTGCCTGAGTTTTTTTCTTCTTTTTTTTTTTTCTTTTCTCAGTTTTTATACGCTAGTCCCCAAGCAATTGTGTGGTAGTGGCAGTGACAGCAGTGGCAACAAGGACTCATAGAAGCCTAAAACTCTGAGAGAGGGGGAAACCTCCTCTCCTGTCAGAAGAGATGTGGTCCCAAAGGGGTGAGTGAACCTGTTTATTTTTCTCTTTCTTGACCCCAGATGTGGGTGTACACATTGGAAGTGAGCAGCAGGGCAGAAGAAACAAATCCCCAGCTTTCTGCCTAAGGGTTAGAAAATATATAAAGTGTGAAAGAAAGAAACTACAAAAGAAACCTGAATAAACAGAGAGACTGACATACCATGTTCATGGATCAGAAGACCCAACATAGCAAAGAGGTCAATTCTTCCCGTACTGATCTATAGATCTAACATAATTCCAGTAAAAGGGAAATCCAATGAGGTTTTTGCAATTATAGACAAGCTGATTCGAGAATATAGGGAAAGGCAAAGGAACTAGAATGTAAAACAATTTTGAAAAAGAATAAGATTGAAGGAATCACACTACCCAATTTTAAGACTACCCAATTTATAAATCTCCATTAATCAAGACAATGTGGTACTAGAGGAAGAACAGACATGTAGATCAATGGAACAGAAAAGAGAGTCCAGAAATACACCCATATGGAATATAACCAACTCATTTTTCACAAAAGTACAAAGGCAGTTCAATGGAGAAGTGACAATCTTTTCAACAATTGGTCCTGGTAAAATTATACGTCCACATGTAAGAAAGTGAACCTTGACTTAAACTGCACAATTTATACATAAATTAACCCAAAATGAATCAAAGATCTAATTGTAAAGCCTAAAATTATAAAGGTTTAAGAAGAAAGTATAGGAGAAAAATGTTTGTGATCTAGGATTAGGCAAAGAATTCTTAAACATGACACCAAAAGCATGATCCTTAAAAGAAAAATTTATCCCCTGTTGGTAAATTGGACTCAATGAAAATTAAAATTTTGCTCTGTGGTAAACATTATCAAGAGAATGAAAGGATTAGCTACAGAGTAGGAGAAAGTGTCCACAAATCACATGTCTGACAAACAGCTCATATCCAGAATATATAAAGAACTCTCAAAACTGAACAGCAAGAAAACAAACAACCCAACAACAAAATAAGCAAGAGATTTGAACAGACATTTTACCAAAGTGGGTAGACAGATGGTGAATAAGCACACAGAAAGATATTTTGGGGGTGAAGGAAGTATTCTATACCCTGACTGTAGTGGCATTTACATGGATCTATACATGTGTTAAAATTCACAGAACTGTACATTAACAAAAAAGACAAAAAGTCATGATAATTTTAAAAATAAAATTAAAAGAAAAAATAACATCATAATAAAAGTACTTTCTTTATAGGGCTTTGGTTTTACAGGCATGGAAGTACCAACAAAGAGGTGTTTGTGCAGAAGCTGTAGGATTTCTTCTTCAATCACCTTCATCCATGAAGAGGCCCAGATGATGCCCAAAGCAGGAAGATGCCAGGCAAAATGGTCACATGTTCAGACTCTGGAGATTTAGACAGTGTCATTCTAAACAAGATTCTTCTTAGAGTTTTGTCAGTTTGGGGTCTGAACAAAGATATGCTCAGAATCGAAAGCACAGATATTCTTGGGTTTTTACAGTCACAAATTATAATGATAATTCATGTTTCAGGAAGCACCTCAATTTCTCTCTTAGGTTGTGAAATCCTTCGGTGCCTTCAGGCAAAAGAGGTCGACATGAATTAGTCTTGATTGGTTTGGGACACTGAAATGATTCTGGGACAGCAGAGGAATGCTTGGCACCAATGTTTCCCAAATTGATGCCACAGAACAATAATCCCAAAAGCTATTGAGAGAGGGGGAGGGAGCGAAAGAGGGAGAGGTAGGGAGAAGAGAAGGAAATATAGTCTGGAAAACTGGAAAACGCCACATGTTCTATTTTTCTCTTGGAGATTCCCAATGCATATTAATATATTAATGCCCTGAGAAATTTCACAGAAAGAATTCTATTTGCCTCTATTTAATCTGATTTCCCAAACTTAGTTGACAATAGGTTGTTTTTCCCATATAACTCCAAATAGTAATAATTCAGTTAAACTCACTTTGGTACTCGCTGCTCTACCGCAAACCCAGAGTGTGGACTTTGGTGGCTAAAGATAGACTTGGCGTATGCTAATTAATTCTTTCTTCTCCGGCTGGGTTCTTTGCCCACTCAGTTTATCCCAAAATTCAGGACAAGTTTTCCAAAGACATAAAGTAGGCACTTGCTCACTTGCTTGAATGTCAGAGACAGTAGATTAACAATAATAATCATAGCAAATGCATACCTGGTACTCACTACGTGTCAGGTATTTTTCCAAGCACTTTATGTATGTTAACCAGTTTAGTTGGCGTGACAACCCTTTGACTTAAGCACTATTATTATCCCCATTTTATACATGTGGAAACTGAGGCACAGAGCTACTTGCCCAAGGTCACACACAGACAACAAATGGCTGAGCCGGGATTCAAACTAGGCAGTCCGGATCCAGAGTTCACATTCTTGACCACAGTGTATACTGCCTCTCAGATGAGATCCATGCCCTGCTCCCTGAAATGCCACGGCTATTCGTCCGTTTCTTTGGCACTGTAAGTCTGTGATCTTTCAGAACTCCACTGGAAAGCAGTGTCCTCTCAGTGAGCACTGCAAGGCCCTGTGTAGAGGCTGTCCTTTCTCTCTAGAATGTTTTCACTACTCTTTCTTGTCCGGTAAACTCCTGGTCATCTTTCAAGACCTAGCCCAAATGTCACCTCACAGCCCGATTCCCGGCCAAGAAGCTTTCGCAGAAACTCCGAAGAGCTGTCTGACCGCAGCTGTGGTACAGATCTTGTCTGTATTTTGCTGTGATTGCTTTGCTTTGTATGCATGTTTATTTTTTGTCACCAGCCTATGACGTTCTCAATTGCAGAACCTTTGTTTCAGGCACTGTGGTAGGGTAGGCACTGAAGGGTAGAAAGATGCATGAGATGTGGTCCCCGACCTCAGAGAGCCCCCGAGCCTTTTACCACTGTTCTAGATAGACACACCTGATATTTGACAAAGGCTGGAGAGCTGCAAGAAAAGGGTTTTGTGGGCACAGAGGACAGAACAATTACTGCTGATTAGAGAGAGGTGATATTTGAGCTGGGACTAAATGATGAGGAATTTCAGTGGGAGAATGAATGAGTGAAGGAATCCTTCGGGAAAACAGTTTTGTGATATTTTTATGGCACAAGAGGGAAAGGATTAGACTTGGAACCCGTACTGGCAGGGGCTGCAGTTGGCCCTGTGACTTCAGGCAAATCACTTCATTTTTCTGTGCTTCAGTTTATCAATCTGTAAAATTGGAATAATAACCACTCATTTCCCAGGATGTTTTTTGAGAATTAAGTAAAGTCACGTGTGGAAAAGTGCTTTGTGTTAAATGCCAAATGCCATAAAGGTGTTTGGTATAATTATGCTTCTTAATTCCTCTTGTATCTTGTCTCTTAAGAATTCGGTAAGATGGGAAACAGCGATTGAGAACTTACTCTGTGGCAGGCACCATTCTCTGTCTCTTCTGGGTACTATTTCATTTACCGTCCCAACAATCCTATAAGGCAGATATATTATTATTGTGGTCATTCTACAAATGAGGAAAACAAGGCGCAGAGAACTTCAGTTGTCCTGCCCAGGGTCACACAGCTAGTAACTCCTGGGGTCCACATTCAAACCCAAGTGTTAACACAGAGCCCCTGATCAGAGACTAAAAATGTATTAAAGATCCTCTCAGTCTGAGCCAGCTATGACACATCAATCAGCTGAGAATGGAGAGATGCAACAGGTGACCCTCCTCTGATGAGACAGAGATCAAGATCCCCTCTTTCACCTCCATCAGCGGATAAATTGAACATATGGTTAGTTATAAGAACCACAGAGCTCGCATTTTTCCCCCAGACATTTTCTGTTCTTTACTTAAACACTGATCAGAAGAAAAACCAAGACACAAAAGTTAAACTGATTCCTTTTGTGTGTGTGTATGAGGAAGATTGGCCCTAAGCTAACATCTGTTGCCAATCTTCCTCTTTTTGCTGAGGAAGATTGTCACTGAGCTAACATCTGTGCCAATCTTCCTCCACTTTTTATGTGGGACACTGCCACAGCATGGCTTGATGAGCCATATCTAGGTCTGCACCCAGGATCCAAACCCGCAAACCCCAGGCCGCCAAAGCAGAGCCTGAAAACTTAACCACCATGGCACCAGGCCGGCCACAGAGATTCCATTTTTAAAAAGTGGAATAGATGGGGGCTGGCCCCATGGCCGAGTGGTTAAGTTCGCGCGCTCCGCTGCAGGCGGCCCAGTGTTTCGTTAGTTCGAACCCTGGGCGCGGACATGGCACTGCTCATCAGACCACGCTGAGGCAGCGTCCCACATGCCACAACTAGAAGAACCCACAACGAAGAATACACAACTATGTACCGGGAGGCTTTGGGGAGAAAAAGGAAAAAATAAAAAATCTTAAAAAAAAAAAAAAAGGAATAGATGAACATTCTCCTAGTGAAACCTAGCCTGACAACATCATTGTTAAGGAATACAAAGCCAACAGCTGGATAAATCATCAAAATGAGGCCCAACATTCGTTCAAATCAAGTGGCATTTATCCATATTCTAAAATGGCTCTCTAAGGTTTTTATTCCATTGGTATGAGAGTTCCAATAGAACCCTAAAGCGATTATATAGAACACTAGGGCTATTTAATAGCTTCTAACTTAGCAAGCCATGGTAATTTAAAAGGGAGCGGATGAGCTGCTGGGAGCAGGGAGATTTCTGCTGAAGAATACAAATGTGTTCTCTGCTACACTGCGTCTGCCTCTTTCTGGGGAAAGGCAAAATGCACACAGGAATGTGATGGAACTTTCCAGCTGGTGGTTTTGTGTTATCAGAAGGCAAGTGTTTGTGAAAACGAAAATTACTGATAATTAGGTGTGAAAGCCTGTAAGGGAGAAAAATGGAGAAACATTGCAGCGTCTTTATTTATACCAAAGGCTGAAGACTATTGGTGGCAGTGTGAATTGCTGCAATCTTCTGGGAGGACGCTTAGCAATGGGCTGGCACTTTGACCCAGCAATTCCACTTCCAGGAATCTGCTTTATAGTAATACTTGCACATGTTCACAAAGGTCTGTGTACAAGGATGTTCACCGTAGCAAGTGTTTGTAGGTATGAAAAATGGAAATAATCTATATCTATCAAGATAAAAATATTTAAACAATATTTAAACAGCATATCCACGTTTCAGAAAAGTTTGCTGCTAATAAATGGAATGAGATCTATATATTCTGACATGAAAAGGTGTCTCTGATATGTTAAGTGAAAAAAAGCAAATTTCAAAATAGTATCTATCACATGATTCAATTTAAAAATGTTTTCAGGGGCCAGCCCAGTGGTGCAGCAGTTAAGTTCCCACATTCCACTTCGGTGGCCCAGGGTTCACCAGATCGGATCCTGGGTGCGGACATGGCACCACATGGCAAGCCATGCTGTAGCAAGTGTCCCACATACAAGGTGGAGGAGGATTGGCACGGATGTTAGCTCAGAGCCAGTCTTCCTCAGCAAAAAAAGAGGAAGTTTGGCAGACGTTAGCTCAGGGCTGATCTTCCTCAAAAAAAAAAAAAAGGTAAAAAAAAATGTAAAAGTGTTTTCAATGTTAATGTAGTCATAGAAAAATATCTGGAGGTATATGTACCAAAGATTACCAGCGGTTCCCTCTGGGGGATGGTATAGATATTTTCATAATGTACATTTTTATGAGCATGGATTACTTTCGCAAAGAGAGGGGAAAAAACAAAGAGTTGAATTATTTCCTCAAGGGAAGAAAGAAAAAGAAAAAGAAACCCGGCTGGTAGAGGTTTATTCACTGTCTTTGGGTGAAAGGTTTCAGTGCAATTCCACAGAGAGTGCATTTCAGATTCTGGCAGTCTCGGCAAGGATGCGTTTAGTCAGAATGGACCAAAATGACTGTGCTCGCATCGAGACACTGCGACGCACTGCGTCTCCCTCCTCTGTCCTTGTCCTGGTCTCTTGATTGTCCTTTTGCCTGCTGCTGCTGCTCCTCAACCTTTGCTCATGGACAAGAACCAGCTGATTTCCCAGCCCCTTCTCTTGCCTCACAAGCTGCCCGTTGTAGAAGTCACCAAAACATGGTGGTAAAGAGCTTGGCCTATGGAGTTTGGGGGCCCTGGGTTCAAATCCTGACTTCACCACTCTCCTGTGTAACTTTGGGAAGCTTGCTTCTCCTTTTAGGGCCTCTGTTTCCTCACATGAAAAATGATGATAATCTTAGAGAACCTGCTTCAGAGGGTCTTTGGAATGATGAAAATGGATAAGTATAGAAAGCGCTTGGAGGGGCGGCCCTGGGGCCGAGGGTTTAAGTTCATGCGCTCTGCTTCAGGGGCCCGGGGTTTCGCGGTTCGGATCCTGGGCATGGACAGGGCACCGCTGATCAGGCCATGCTGAGGCGGCATCCCACATGCCACAACTAGAAGGACCCACAACTAAAATACACCACTATGTACTAGGGGGCTTTGGGGAGAAAAAGGAAAAATAAAATCCTTCAAAAAAAGAAGTGCTTGAGAATAGTAAATTAATAAACAAATGTCATCTATTATTATTGTCACGGCGTCCTACCAATTCTTCCTTGGTAGAATCTCTCCGGTCTATCTTCTGCCTGATAAACTCCTGCTCATCCTTCAAGGTCTGACTCAGATGCCATCGATGAGAACCCACCTCTGGTCTCTTCCTACACACCCAGAACTGATTAGCACCATCCCACCAGAGGTTCTGTGTGGCGCTATGTACAGAGCTTCATGACTGCCTGTTACCTTCTACTTTACTTGTCTGTCTCCTTCACAGACCCTGACCTCCTGCAAGGCAGCAGCCCTGTTCTATTCATCTCCAACCCTGAGCACTCACCTCAGCGCCAGGCCGAGTTTGGATACAAATAGTAATCATGTTTCAAGTTGAATTAATCGCATCCCTGCCTCTGTCAGCCCAGGCCTGGCGTCTTTAGTTCACGTGAAACTATGGTTACAGCTTCCAAGTGGTCTCCTCCCCTCTTCTTTCCCTGCTCCAATCCTGGCTAACATTTGAGCCCCACAGGTCCTGCTCAATACCCTTCAAGGACAGAGGAGAATTGTAGGACGGGAGCCACACCTGTGTTTTAGCTATAGTTTTGCCACAGGTTGATGTAATCCTAAGCACATTGCTTTTTCTCTCTAAACCATAGCGTCTGCATCTGTAAATAGAGGCAATCGCCGCCTCCCATGAGGCAGTAGGGTGGACTCAATGAAAAATGCATGTGAAATGCATCAACATTACCCAAATGTTAGATATTACTATTTCTGTTATTTTTCAGAGGCAGTGTACATCGGGGAAGAGTATCTGAGAGCCTCTGTCCAGGAGCTCTCCAGCTATGCAAAAAAGAGTTTCCTCCAGAAACTGCATTTAGTACGCCTTTTGTGAAACCAATCCCCAAAACAAAAGGGCAAAGACTCTTTCCTACCCTTAAAATTAAATACAAACATCAGAGAACATTGTGCAGGCTTTCACCATTTATGGAACATTTTCACGACCATCACAGGACTTGAAAAGGTCTTTAATGGGAAGAAATCACAACCAGATCTTAGTGATAAGCTCTGGGTGCTGAAACTGGGCAATGATTTTGATTTTATTTGTTTTCCTAAAGCTTCAAATCTTTGCAATTTTGGAGGTAGACAGAGACGATAGCTGCACAACATTGTGAATGAACTAATTGCCACTCTGTTGTACATAAAGTGTGCAATGTTATGTGAATTTCACCTCATTAGAAAATCTTCAGTACACATGCAAGATTTTATTGTCATTTACTAAAACGTGGGTTAACCCGAGAACAAAAAAAGCCTCTAAAGGCCCCAAAGCGGTGCAGTCAGCTGACACTCTCCCCCACCCATTTGCCGAATCACGGTTGCAGAGGGCCAGGTTCCAGGCAGCCAGCCTGCAGCACGCTCCTCCGACCACCAGGGGTCTCCACAAGGCCCTGGCCGCCTCCCAAGCCGGCGAGCGCCTTCTCTTGCGCCTTGGAAGCGCGTGTGCGTGTGAGGGGCGTGGCCCCTGGTGGCCGGCTGCTCCGCCGGCACGAGCCCCGCCCCCCCCCGGAGCCTGTGCCCGAGCCCACCGACCCCAGTCCTTGCCGGTCCCTCCGGTTCCCACCCCCGGCCCCAGCCTTCTCCCGTTGGGGCTGGTCCCTGACTTCTCTCTCCCCACGTGTAACCGCCTGCCGCGGCATCTCTGGCCCGCTGTCCTCTGCCCGGCTCTGCTCCGCCGAGGCTCCCGGTCCGTGAGCCCCGGCCGCATGGCGCTGCAGGCGCTGCAGAGCTCGGGGGTGGCCTTGCGCAAGATCCTGTCTCACTTCCCCGAGGAGCTGAGTCTGGCTTTCGCCTACGGCTCCGGGGTGTACCGCCAGGCGGGGCCCAGTTCAAACCAGAAGGTGAGCCCGGCCCGCGGCCAGCCCCACGCCGGGCATCGGCGTGTCCTCACGAGTTCCCGTTTCCTTCGATCCCTCCAGAGCCCCAGAGCTGCCTGTCCACTCTGCGCACTGCACGTATCAACTAGTAAAGTACACACCGTACGAAAGTGTTGCTAGTGCAACGACAGCGTTAGCTGAGTTTTGAAGTTTAAGTAGGAGTCCACTCCGGTCTAGATGCAGTGATGCGGGGGGAAAAGCTGCTGCAGAGGAAAGAAAAAGAAAGGAAGGAAAAATACTTGCCAGGTGCTAGTTCAGTGTTCTCAGCCGTGGCCGAACATTGGAGTTTTCTGGGAAGCTTTAAAAATTTCTACCTACTGGGATTCTGATTTAATTGGTCGGGGATGAGGGCTGGGCTTCAGGAATTTGTAATACTTTGCAGGTCATTTAAATGCGCAGCCAAGCTTGAGAGTCACATGGATAGCTGTGGGGGGAAACACAGAATGATCCTCCTCACTTCAGGAAGCTGACGACTGGTTGTAGGACCTGGGCAGGTGCAGTGAAGTTAACTAACAGCAAAAGTTAGTGGGTGACTA